AGGGGTCCAACTTCGATCAGTCCTATTTTTTTCTAGATATATTACAATACCCTTAGTGGATTATAGAGTTTCAATGAACATTACATTTTCTATAGTAAAGCTATGTCTGGGAAAAGAGGGGGGGGGGGTGATATTATGTGCCTGTAATTTGTCCCAATCAATCAGGACCCCCCCCCTTCTTACCAGTCATTAAATCACGGTCGTCAACATTCATTATATACTAGATATACAGCTTTTAGATAATGTAAATGTTTTTAACATCAGGTAATGAACTTTTGGAATCAACATGATAAAGAGTTAACACAATATAAAGATATTTTAAAATCACGTAAGAAAGAGTTGACATAACGTAATTATATATCCACATCACGGAATGGAGTTTTGACATAATGCAATAAAGTATTGATATAATATAAAGATATGTTCACCTTATGTTATACACTTTTTACCCCACATAATAAAGCACTGACATAAAGGTAAGATGTGTTCACCTCATATTATGATGCCCTCGCCGTAAAATAAAGATAAATCCATATCACGTAATAATGCTTTGATATAATAGAAATATACACTCTCAAAAGGGAATGGGCTTTTGACTTCGTGTAATGATAAGTTTAATTATAAAACACAATTTACTTGACGTAATGCAGTTTTGACCTCACATATTAAAGAAATGAAATGATGTAAAGAAAAATTCATTTCATGCAAGAAAGTTTTAACACAATGTAAACACATTATCACTTCATATAATGAATTTTTTACTTCAAGTTATGAAGTGCTGACATAATGAAAGGATGTATTTACTTCATGTAATGCAGCATTGACATGATGTTAAGATATATTTACATCATCTCATAAAAAATGGACATAACGTAAAGATATGTTCACATTACGTAATGATAAATTGACATAATAAATGCATAGTTGTATGCTATAAGGCAGTGATGGCGTTCCATAATACAGGGTTATTTTCATCCCGTGTTATTTTCGCTCTTTCACACTTGAAAACAATTTTGTCCCGTTTTACATTCGCCCAAGCGTCCATACTTTCGTTTAAGAAATCATACTGTATTCTTTGAATTCGCCCCGTTTTAAATTCGCTCAATAGAGTATAGAACGAAAGGGAAAAATAAAACGGGTACGAAAATTTCCCTGTATAAAGTATCTATACATCGAGTTGAAGGCCGTAGTAATTGTAGTCTTCTTTTCACGAATAAGAATTTGAACAAATTCTAGCGATATTATACACAACTCTAGCCAGGTCAAATTTGTTGTTCATAAATTTCATTTTGCATTTACATGTATTTATCCCCCACCAAAAATGATTTTCGCTTTTATTTAAACCCTCTGTGTTTCTTCCATAAATTCATTTATTTGAGTAAATTTAATTTGTATAATTTCTATTCATCAGAATTCTTAAATAAATTTCGAGGCTCAATAAATAAAAATAAATTCCATCAAAACAAATTATACATAGATTCATGTTCTAGAGAATCAAACAACAAACAAACTAATAAAATTTCGTTGTAAAATGCAATAATCTGTCAATTTCACCGCTAGTAATATTAATGTGCCTGTCTTATATTTTTGTCAAAGTTAATATGATTTCTAATTTCAGGTGTCATCATGGACATGTATCGGAGACTTGATTATGATTGGAAGACTGAGCCTCAACCAAAAAGAAGTCTCATTCTCGTGTGGAGATGTTTGAAGATATTCGGCCGTCTGCTTCTGTTGGTTCCTGTTGTATTCAAATTTCCTCTAATAGGACAAAAAATGTTTGAAGTATTTAAATCCAGAAGTCGAAGGTTGGGACCAGAAGGGATGAAACCCATTATGTCGTACAAAACAATTCAAACTCTGACCAGAATCCACGGCACTGAGATCTTTCGACGCTCCGCCATCGTCGGTAAAGTGGCGCCAAACCTTAGTCTTGTTAATGTCCAGACAGAGAAGATAATGAAGCTATTAGATTTCCAGAAACAAGGGAGACCACTGATCGTGAACTTTGGCAGCTGTTCCTGACCTCCTTTCATGATGAAGTTCGCGTTGTTCAAGCAAATCGTTGCTGATTTCTCGGACATTGCGGACTTCATCGTTGTTTACGTCAGAGAAGCACACCCGGTAGAAGGGTGGGTTGTCTTAGGTACCAAATTCTCTCACTTAAGTTCCCACACTTCACAAGAGGAGAGACTGGGAGCGGCTCGGCTGCTGTTGGAGGAAGGATGTCCATGTCCACTACTCATTGATACCATGGACAATTCTGGAGCTATTAAGTACGCGGCGGTTCCTGAGAGGTTATTTATCATATATGATGACGTCATTCAATATGCTGGTCAAGGCGCTGGACCAGAAAACTACAAGCCGGAAGCTGTGGTGCAATGGTTGACAGAATATCGTCACAAGAAATAACATATATACATATAGATAGAATGTTCTATCGTTAAAATGATATTGTCCTACGGACCCGGTTTAACGATAGAATTCGTTCCGTGTATTCGTAATGTAGCAGAAAGAAACACGGGCGATAACTCGCATAGTGCATTTACTAGGAACAATCTAGAGAGTTCCGAATGTAGTAATTTGAATCGAGAGAAAAAGGTTGTGAAAATTAATTGGATTTTCGTATATATATGGATTATTTTATGGGATAAAAGGCATAAGCAATCTCAAAAAGGTTTGTTTTGAATGGTTTACCCAGAAATAATCGTCACAAGAAATAACATATATACATATACAACGACACTATTATAATTCATATACTAAAAACGAAATTTCTAGCATTTTTTTTAACATTTCTTGTACATGATGATGATGTTTCAAATTGGGCCAAATGTCATCTGATTTCTAAATCAAGAAATGTACTCAAGGAAACTGAGCATGGAATAACAATAAAGCGTATTTCTAATCGCATGCAAGTATATTTCTTTTTTTGTTTGGCGTCTATAATTTGCCCTTTCACAAAATTAATAACTTTAAAATCGAATTTTAAGTGGACGGATCCCATTTCAAACATTTCCGAAGTAAAACGATAATCGCTGATCAACTTGATTTAGACTTAATTTGCAAGCAAGGACTACTTAAAACACAGGGCTCACGGCAATTGTGATCAATCCACAGAGAATGCTTACTCCTCCTATGCACCCGATCCAACCTCTGGAATTTCCAGGGGCCCGGGGTATTTTCTCTAAAATTTGAACAGTATATATAAAATTCCTGAGCCCGATCACTTCTCGTTATCAATCGCATCGTCTTGGGTCTTTCCATTAGAGGTCGGAAAAGCAACCTCGGGGTTGTTTTTCCGCTAGTCGGAAAGGCCCGAGAAGTTGCGATTGTGTTCGTTATCTTCACCATTTTATTAGAACTATAATAATAACGCTGATTATTCTGTACAAAGCAAGCGTATACCTAGTCAAAATTCAATACCACTTATATATTTTTAAAAATAATAAAATGCTATCTTTGGTTGTTAGTACGGGAATTAACGTCGCAGCAATATTGCAGAAAAAAATTACATAACCCGCTTATAATGCGGGTTATGTATTTTTTCTGCAATAGCTGCGACAACCAAAGAAAGCATTTTATTGTTTATATTTACATCTGTATTAAAAATCATTCATAGTAAAATTAAGTTTGTTAATAATTATTGTTTTTAATGCAATGAATATGTCATTGTATGTAGAACTGATGAAACAGCCATTGTTCAAGAAAACTACATACGGGGCTTGCTCAGTGTTGTTCATGGCAATGGGCTTCACAAGAAATCAAGACAAAAATATTCAGTTGATGTAAATATATAGTAAACAAAAGTACACACTTTAATACTTTGTTACTTAACTTTATTAGGGAAATTTGGACGTTTTTGATGAACAGATTTATATAGAAAACTTTACTTTTCTTAAAAGCCATTCATAGTGCGACTTGCTTTGAGGTTTCCTCGAAAGGCTGCACGTTAACCAGACTAGTCCGAAATATCTGACGTTTTCCTGGCACGTACAAAATCAATATCGTTCAAAAGCCTGGAAAACGTAAGATATATTTCGAATTAGTACCAGACTTGCTCCGGATGCTGTTTTTAGTATTACTGCAATATCACATTTAAAATATCAGTTTTTTTTAATCTTCACAAAATTGCATGGGAGAAAACATTATAATAAAAAAAATATTTTGATTACACATTTCCTAACATTTGCCTTTAACAATGACATTAAACAGTTACTTAAAAAACTAATAAACTACAGTGAATCAATAAATATATATAAATATATACTTATAACAAACATAAAACTCCATTTCATGAATACATATAAATGACAAATAAAATATGTAAATGAGGAGGGCAAATATAATCATTGCAGCAATATGAAACGATTACAAATTGACTGATACATGCGTCTCCCGTTATCAAATTCATTTTAAACCTAACGGAATAACAATTTGTCTGTACTTAATTTCCTATAAAAGTGGTACGTGTTATACATCTGGCTCATCTAGAGGAAGTATTCCTGTTCTCATGAATCATCAAACTCATTTGTTAGAATTATTTCCTGGCGTGCATGTGTTTATAAAAACACTAAAGACACTAAAAATTATTTCAAAATCAAAAATATATTCCCTAAATAAACACAGTTTGTGATTGAATTTGACAATATACTAGCAGACCTTTCAAAATAAATATAGATAATGTAATATTATTCACCAGACAATTATACTCAGTATTAACATGGCAATTCTTTGGATTTATCGAAGTTGTTCTTAAAAAGGATTCATTCTGAAATGTCCACGGAAACGAGAAATTCAAAATAGATTCCAAACGAGAACACCAATAATCACCAAACCTACAATAAAGGAAAGAATAAAATTTACATTAGACAAATCAGTCCATACAATGACAGAACACATAAATTTTATTCCATAAATTCAATGTCAGTATTCTTTTTGTTAGCAACATTCCACATAGTTAAATCATAGACAGACAGACAGACAGACAGACAAGGGGGTCACAGACAAAACGTACTTGATCGCAGACAAACTGCTCCTGACCTTGGGTTAGCGACCAGTTTCGGTGGCGAGGTGGTGGTTGTTGTCGTTGGTTTGGTGGATCTAACAATTTTAGGTGTGGACTTACTAAGCAGTGTTGTTTTAATTTCGGTAGAAACTTCTGGGAGATCTGCCGAGGTAAATAAATCATGGTAGAAGGTTAAAAAGAAATTCCATTGTATTAGAACACGTTTAACTGAATCTCTTTCTTATTTAATTCTGTATATCATTTGGTATCTTCTACCATGATATCATAGTGACTCACAGACATGCGTTTAGTACAACAAATATAATTGCATGCTTCATTAACATGCACAACAGAAAGAGTAGTTAGTCATAAATACCGGGCGGACTTGTGGGTGAGGCAGAGAAGGAACTCATTAGCGACTCGCCTCGGACATTGGTGCTCACATGGACTGTTGTAGAACTCTTGGTAGTCAGAACTGAACAAAACAAATATTTGTTACTTGGATATTGGTTCTTTTTCTTAATTGGCGGAATTTACGAATTAAAAATAAGGAAAACTTACTTGTTGTTGGTATCTTATCACAATCAAATTCATTACAACGGCGGCTCTCGAAAGTTGAACAATTGTTTAGCTCATTTGGACAATAACGTGCTCTAAATTGAAACCCTCCACCGCAGGTTTTGTCGCAGCTCTGCCATTCTGACCAAACATTAGTTTGTTCTGCATCACTGTCACCTAATTGAGATAAAACCGTACAAGTTGAAATTTTAGCGAGACGCAAATTTAGCGATTTGTTCCTAAAAATTGATATGTTTTTTACCTTTAGCCAGATTAAATTTTAGCCATTTTAATATGATCACTAAAGAAGCTACTACAAATAAAACGCAGTTAATTTTTAAAGATATTCAATTTTGGCGATCACAATACTCTCGCAAATAATGCCAAAATTAAATCCTCGCAAAAACTTCTGCTTATAACATAATTGACCCAATAGAAGAAAAACACGTATGAATACAATGTACCTATATTTAAAACACTTGATTTCATTATAAGGATTGTGCATACTGAAAATATTGGTAAAATTTAAACAGGTACATCGATTCTTGTGATCAATTATTTATCAATCACTGTAAGATTCATAATTCATAACATTGATTTAACTAATAGTATATTTATGCAATTTTGGCGTTTAAAAACGTGATTTATGCTTTAATCTTTTGTTGCATGTTATCTTAAATTAATCTATGAAGAGCATGTTTGAGATTATATCGCCTCTTGAATATGACTTCAAAATGATCCCCTGTAAACTTACTTTTATTTATAAGAAACATCACCAGGATTATCCCCAGCAGAGAAAAATTGTACTCCATTTCTAAAATGACCTGTTAACACCGACTATATGAAGAGGAAACCGCGAAAGTGGGAAGTACATATCCCATAAAATTAATCTGCAGTGCGTCAAAGAATTTTAAGTTATTGTTTCCTTTAATGTCATGAGTTTATAGAGTGATGGTACTTTTGACTAGCTTATTTGGCTGTTATCTGATTGTCTGTTACATCCAATATTTCCAAAATTCAATTTTTTGCTTGAAATACTACATAATATTCAAATACTTAGTCCTGCTGCAGTTTTGGAATTTGAAGTCAAATCCACCCGTTTAAATTATTTGCTAAAAATTTTACGTTTACTTACACTTGCCTTTAATTATTTAGCAGATTTTCTCAGCTGTTAAAAAGCTGAAATCTCCCACTCCTTCAGTCCTTTCTGTTCTGTGGGATGGTTTTTATTCAATAAACTGTAAAATCGACTTTGTTGTTATGACGGTAAACAGCCTCAGGGGAATGCTTACCCATCCTAGGCACCTGAGCCCACCTCTTGAATTTTTCATTCATGTCTAGTTCACCTTATCAAATCGATACGATCGACATCGCAATGTGTAGATAGTATCAATACGATGTAAGACCGTCTACATCGATTGTTAGCATTTCTATATTGACATTGCCAACAATGTCGACAATGTTTATAGTCTGGTCCGATTTATAGAAAAAAATACTTCTAACGGCAAATATTTATTATTTGGTCCAGCATAGGTTTTTAACCTATTTCGAGTATGCAGAATCCGAAAATAAATGCTGGCCTTCATGAAAATGGTGTTAAAAAGGTCAAAATGGCGATTCAAATAGCAGACATCCAATTTTTTTTTTTTAAATTTTCTCTTAATATCGTTCAAAACGGAGAAATAATGTGTGAAAATCTCACTGAGTGTAATGCAAAAATAAAAATGATAAAAGAATGCTAACATTATTACTTTAACTCAGAAAATTTAGTCGTTTATACATTTAATTCGAATTTTCTCTGATTAATTTACCTTTTTTTTTTCTATATTCTGCTTTGTTCAGGATTTTACATTTGCACATATCAATACACTGCAGATTTGTATTTTTTCCTCTGCACCTCAATATTCTACAACTGAATGATGGTGCAGCTATATTTTATAAGACAAAATGGCGGATATTTATTTTTTCCAATTATTTCTTAATGTTTAAATAGGAGAAAGATTTTGAGAATATCTTACTGAGCGTAGTACAACTGTGAAAAACATAGCTAATCAGAGATTACAGAGCTCGCCTCAACGAATGTTGTCTTTAAGTAAGGCAAAGTCACACAATTAACCAACAGAAGTGTACATCCAAAAATGCAAAATTTATGTAATTTTGATCTGATACTTTGGAACAGACCTATATAAAAACTTCAAAATAGTTCTTCATCATGAAAGCGTAATTAAAATCCATCATTTGAAGCAAATTTGAGAGTTTTCATCCCTTGATGCATCATTTGTGCAAGTTTGGTTTATATAAGCCTTATAGTTTCTTGGTAATACACCTGCACCCATAACTTTTACTTGGTCCATTAACTGGAAAATGTATGTCGAAATCAGCATCCGAAGCAAGTCCATCCTCAGATGTATCATCCATGCAAGTTTGCTCAACACAGGGCTCATAGTTACTTGGAAATGAAACCTGCATAAAAAACTAACCTTTTCACTCATCCAGAAAATGTAGATCAGATTCAGCATCCGAAGCCAGCCTGGTAGTATGCATCCTTAGATGTGTCTACCATGCAAGTTTGGTCATTATAGGGCTCATAGTAACTTGTAAATGAAACCTGTGCCAAAAACTTTAACCTGTTCACTCATCCGGAAAAATGTAGGTCAGATTCAGCATCCAAAGCAAGTCTGGTAGTGTGCATCCTTAGATGTGTCATCCATGCAAGTTTGGTCATTATAGTGCTCATAGTTACTTGGAAACGAGACCTGCACCAAAAACTTTAACCTGTTCACTCAACCGGAAAATGTAGGTCAGATTAGCATCCGAAGCAAGTCTGGTAGTATGCATCCTTAGATATATCATCTTTGCAAGTTTGGTCATTATAGGGCTCATAGTATCTTGGAAATGAAATTGAAACCTGCATCAAAAACTTTAACCTGTCCACTCAACCGGAAAATGTAGGTCAGATTCAGCATCCGAAGCAAGTCTGGTAGTGTGCATCCTTAGATGTATCATCTATGCAAGTTTGGTCAACATAGGGCTTATAGTTACTTGGAAATGGGACTACATCGAAACCTGCACCAAAAATGTCAACCTGCTCCAAAAACATTAATTAACCTGGTCATTCCTTTGCTGAAATTGCAACATCTGAAACTTTGACTGGTACAATGAAACACACTAGAAGCATCTTCCATGCACGTCTAATCCATATATTACACAGAAGTAGTTAAAAAGAAAACTGCTCCAAAAAACTTAATCTTAACCTGGGACGCCGACGCCGAAGGTATTACATAAGCTCCCCCAACTTCGTTGAGGTGAGCTAATGACAACAGAGCATTAATATTATCACTTTAATTCGGAAAATCTGATCGTTTAAATTTGAAATGTTTTAAGTCCTTTTACAGAAAATAATTTTATTACAGTTTGTTTTTTTTTAAATAAATAAAGTAATGTTCAAATGTTCAATTAATGTTGAAGGGTATTGTTGTTAAGGACTTATGATTTTTATGACATGCTTCTTTGTTTAATTACAAGTACTTTTAACGACATAAACTAATACCTGTCTCACCATATGTTTCTTCATGTAAAAAGTTAATGATATCATACAATAATTGCTGTTTAGAGGACTCTATGCAACTTAAGCTACCCCTAAGAGCAGTATTTCCCGAGCATAAAGTCGAGTGAACATTGTAGTTCAAGGGTTGCTAAATCATACCAGTTGTTGGAAATTCTTGATCTATTTTAAGTCCAGTGTAGAAAAAATAAATGTTCATGTTCATGTGGAAGATCTACTGCAACAAAACAAAATTTTTAAAATGATGGACCACAACCAATTGGAGGGCTAGGGATTATTAAATCGATCTGAATATAATATCTAAATATCAACATATTTATTAAGAATCATCAAAACCAGTATAATATATATATAAACCATAAATGTCCTTGATTGTCCAGCTCTGATTCTGTGTCCCTACATTTGCATTTTGTTATTCTCAGTCAAAAAATTTAACTGTTTTCACATACATGTACTTTTGTTTATACATGTGACTGCACTTCGTATTGTGAACACATTTCCTCACCAAAATATGCACACAATGTGATTCCAGATGATAACGTTTGAGAATTTTTTTTGCTAATAGAATGACCTTTGTACCCAGAGACAACAAATTTATACGGTCAAAAATTAAAAAGCTACATGTCTTTAAAATCAGAGATCTTTTCCCATTTTGTTAAAGGTTTTGGGAAACAAAACATATTTTTTACATTTGAACATAAAGGTGTCGTACCATGATTGTTGAAAAGACCAAAATTCCGAAGACAGACTGAAACATATAGCATTTAAAGCTGGAATAGAAGATGTTGGGGGATAATACTAAGCTCTTACAAGTGCTAATTTCAAAAGCTAGTAAAAAGGGTTTGATGAAATCGGACAAGATTCTTTTCAGTTATATTCGATGGTGTGCTGAGGGATGTTGAAGTGGAAGTGCAAATTTATAATGACAGCGATTCAGCGGTGATTTAAGGTAGAAAGGGATTCAAAGGCTTTGGAACACGTTCAAATATGACGAAAACATGTGGAAACTCTCAAGTCTAGTTTGATTTAACTATTTCCAGAAAAAAAAACTTTGCAAGTATTTTTTTGTTTGTTCATAAAATGAACTAATCAGTATAATCGGCTAAACTCAGAAGAAAAGGACACCAAGAGAAATTCCTCTGCCTATAAACTTTGCTTTACCTTGAAAAAAATACCCTGTCTCCTCCCTGACCCATCAACCATTATGAAAAACATTGATACTGCTCGCTCCATATCCATAAGAGTTTATCCATAAGAAAGATATGGACTGGAAACGAATTATGAATTTTTTCTTCCAGTGACCTTGAACTTCCCCAAATGACCTTGGATCAAGGTCATGACACACCCTTGTGTCATGGGCAATCTTTGTGTGAAATGAGAACCTACCAAGTTTATTCATAAGAAAGATATGGACCGGACACGAATTATGAATTTTTTCTTCCAGTGACCTTGAACTTCCCCAAATGACCTTAGGTCAAGGTCATGACACACCCTTTGGTCATGGGCAATCTTTGTGTGAAATGAGAACCTACCAAGTTTATTCATAAGAAAGATATGGACCGGACAGGAATTATGAATTTTTTCTTCCAGTGACCTTGAACTTTCCCAAATGACCTTAGGTCAAGGTCATGACACACCCTTATGTCATGGGCAATCTTTGTGTGGAGTAGTAGATTCTAATGTCCCTCTGTAAGAAAGATATGGACCGGACACGATTGCACAGACAGACGGACAGCTAGACAGACGGACAAGGTGATTCCTATATACCCCCCAAACTTCGTTTGCGGGGGGTATAAATATATATTGAATATAATACACTCATCGTAGTACATGTCAATCGAAGATTGAGGAGAAGGAAAATTAACTGATCCCAAAAAAACCCTCGTCTTTAAGTGTGTAACAAATACACAGTGTCCACTTACGTTCATCAAAAATTATTTAGAAATTACACTTCCCATTCTTTTTATATGCATGCAAATAAAAGCGAGCACAATGCCAGGCAGTGCATGTACGTGGTATTAAGGTACGCATATGTAGTGGTACATGTAGCCTCACATTACTAAACCAAACAAAGGGGATGGATGTTCTTGGTTGTTTGCTACTAACTTATGAATGGGCCATTGTGGAGATTTTTCCTAAAATTCGAATTGTAAATAACAGCTGCACAATCATTCAGTTGTAGATTAGTGAGATGCAGTGTGAAAAAAAGTCCAAATTTTATCTTAATAATAAAAGTCATTAAACAAAGACCTGTGTCATAAAAATCATAACTCATTAACAACAATTCCTTCAACTTTAATTGAACATTATTTCATTAATTCAAAACGAACAAACTGTAATAAATTTATGTTCTGTAAATCGACTTAGAATTAAGCAGTGCGAGTATTCTACGAAATTCGAGTGTTCGTCATTTTGAATCGCCATTTTGAGCTAATTAACACACTTCAAATTTAAACGATCAGATTTTCCGAATTAAAGTGATAATATTAATGCTCCTTTATCATTTTCATAATTGTACTACACCCAGAAAGATATTCTCAAATCATTTCTCCTATTTAAACAATAAGAAATAATTTGAAAAAAATGAATATCCGCCATTTTGACGTATAAAATATAGCTGCACCATCATTCAGTTGTAGAATAGTGAGATACAGAGTAAAAAAAATACAAGTCTACAGTGTATGGATATTTGCAAATGTAAAATCCTGAACAAAGCAGATTATAGAAAAAAAAAATAGATAAATAAATCAGAGAAAATTCGAATTGAATGTAGAAACGACGAAATTTTCTGAGTTAAAGTAAAAATATTAACAATCTTTTATTAGGTCACATGAGTAAACTCAGCTAGGTGACCTATTGCTATCTGTTTTCGTCCGTCGTCGTGCGTCGTGCGTTGTGCGTTAACATTTGAACATTTTCAGCTTCTTCTCTGCAACCACTGAACCAATTTCAACCAAATTTGGTCTAAAGCATCTATGGGTAAAGGGGAACAAAAATTGTGAATTTCATGATCCCTGCCCCCCTGGGGCCTGAGGGGTGGGGCCAAAACCACTAAAATTAATGCAATCTTTAAAAATCTTCTTCTTTACTCCTGGACATCAAGCAGTCAAACTGTTTGCATGATTTTAATCAGCAATGAGTCCTCTACCAAAATTGTGAAATTCATGGCCCTGGGGTCAGGGGTTCTAGTGCTAGGGCGGGGCTAAATAAGTAGGTAGTGAAAATGCATTATTTCTTTGAAAATCTTCTTTTCTGCTCCTGGGTATTAAATAAACTAACTAAGCACATAGTTATGATGAGCAAAAGTGCCACTACCAAAATTGTGAATTTTATGGCCTCAGGGTCAGGGGTTCTGGTGTTAGGACGGGGCTCTATTGATTATATAGTGAAAATACATGAATTCTTTGAAAATCTTCTTCTCTGCTCCTGGGTATTAAATAAACTAACTAAGTGCATAGTTATGATGAGCAAGAGTGCCTCTACCAAAATTTTGAATTTTATGGCCCCAGGGTCAGGGGTTCTGGTGTTAGGGCAGGGCTCTATTGATTATATAGTGAAAATATATCAATTCTTTGAAAATCTTCTTCTCTGCTCCTGGGTATTAAATAAACCAACTAAGTGCATAGTTATGATGAGCAAGAGTGCCTCTACCAAAATTGTGAATTTGTTTGGCCCCAGGGTCAGGGGTTCTGGTGTTAGAGCGGGGCTCTATTGATTATATAGTGAAAATACATGAATTCTTTGAAAATCTTCTTTTCTGCTCCTGGGTATTAAATAAACTAACTAAGTGCATAGTTATGATGAGCAAGAGTGCCTCTATCAACATTGTGAATTTTATGGCCCCAGGGTCAGGGGTTCTGGTGTTAGGGCGGGGCTCTATTGATTATATAGTGAAAATACATTAAATCTTTGAAAATTTTCTTTTCTGCTCCAGGGTATTAAGCAGATGAACTACCTATATAGTTATGCTGGACAAGGGCCCATATCTTCCAGAATTGTGAATTTCAAGGCCCAAGGGTCAGGGGTACCATAGAAGGGGGGGCTGTACTTATATACTGAAAATGAATGAATGGCTTGAAATCTGCTCCTTGGTATTAATCAAATATCAAGGCCTAAGGGTCAGGGGTTCGTGCGTGGTAGGTGCACTACTGATTATTGCTGAATATTACTGATTAGTTGAAATGCATTTTTTGTTCCCTTACCCTGCATATGGGTATTAAGTAAACAAACTAAGCAACTGCTAAATGTATTGTTATGATGATCAATGGTGCCTCTTTCAAAATTGTGAATGCCATAGCATCTGGCTTAAAACATGAATCAAATTCAAGCACTGGAAAGTTGTTGCATAATGCTCAGGTGACCTATAAGGCCCATGGGCCTCTTGTGTATTTTCACTGTATAATCAATAGAGCCCTACCCTATCACTAGAACCCCTGACCCTGGGGCCATAAAATTCACAATTTTGGTAGAGGCACTCTTGCTCATCATAACTATGCACTTATTTAGTTTATTTAATACCCAGAAGCAGAGAAGAAGATTTTCAAAGAATTCATGTATTTTCACTATATAATCTATAGAGCCCCCCCCTACACCAGAACCCCTGACCCTGGGGCCATAAAATTCACAATTTTGGTAGAGGCACTCTTGCTCATCATAACTATGCACTTATTTAGTTTATTTCATACCCAGGAGCAGAAAAGAAGATTTTCAAAGAATTCATGTATTTTCACAATATAATCTATAGAGCCCCACTCTAACACCAGAACCCCTGACCCTGGGGCCATAAAATTCAAAATTTTGGTAGAGACACTCTTGCTCATCATAACTATGCACTTAGTTAGTTTATTTAATACCCAGGAGCAGAGAAGAAGATTTTCAAAGAATTTATGTATTTTCACTATATAATCTATAGAGCCCAACCCTTACACCAGAACCCCTGACCCTGGGGCAATATAATTCACAATTTTGGTAGAGTCACTCTTGCTCATCATAACTATGCACTTAGTTAGTTTATTTAATACCCAGGAGCAGAGAAGAAGATTTTCAAAGAATTCATGAAATTTCACTATATAATCTATAGAGCCCCACCCTAACACCAGAACCCCTGACCCTGGGGCCATAAAATTCACAATTTTGGTAGAGACACTCTTGCTCATCATAACTATGCATTTAGTTAGTTTATTTAATACCCAGGAGCAGAGAAGAAGATTTTCAAAGAATTCATGAAATTTCACTATATACTTATTTAGCCCCACCCTAACACCGGAACCCCTGACCCCGGGGCCATGAATTTCACAACTTTGGTAGAGGACTCAATGCTGATTACAATCATGCAAACAGTTTGACTGCTTGGTGTCCAGGAGTAAAGGAGAAGATTTTTAAAGATTGCACTAATTTTAGTGGTTTTTGCCCCACCCCCCAGGCCCCAGGGGGGGCAGGGCCCATGAAATTCACAATTTTTGTTCCCCTTCACCCATAGATGCTATATGCCAAATTTGGTTGAAACTGATTCAGTGGTTTCAGAGAAGCTGAAAATGTTCAAATGTTAACGCACGACGCACGACGAACGACGACGGACGAAAATTGATAGCAATAGGTCACCTGAGTTTACTCAGGTGACCTAAAAAGTTGGATGTCCACCATTTTGACCTTTTTTAACGCCATTTTCATGAAGGCCAGCATGTATTTTCGGATTCAGCGTACTCGAAATAGGTTATAAAAAACTATGCAGGACCAAATAATAATTATTTGCCGTTAGAAGTTATTTCAAGCCTTCTTTTCAAAAATGTGGACCAGACTATTACAAGATATCATTATTATATAACTTATCTAGAAAACATCATGCACTTGATATATCTCAAAACTTAGGGCTCATATTTACTTGGAAATGAGATCAGTAACAAAAACTTTAAGCCTGTTTGCCGATTCAGAAAATATAGGTTGGATCCAGCAACTGAAGCAAGTCCACTAGTCTGCATCTTTAGAAGATTCATCTATGAATATCATAGAACACATACAGAGTCATAGTTACTTCGAAATGAGACCTGCACCAAACGTCAACCTTCAATTCTTGCAAAGCCGAGTGTTTGACCATCATATCTAGAAATATTCAGAGCCAGTTATTTATTCTAGAAATTGCATGTGGAAGAAAGTATTAACAATGAGGTAAAGAATTATATTTATTTCACATGTAAATGTATATAATTATATGGAATCATTGTTCAGTTTGTTGGGTATGCCAGGGACAGGAAAGACTGATGGAAACTTGAGATAAATTATGCAGGATGGGTCTGGAGAAGTACCACCTAGCAAAGATAATCACTGCAGAGTAAGATAACTATATCTTCTTTACATGTTAATCTTTAAGGAAGAGTTTTTTTTTACAAATCTCAAGATTTGATCTTTGTTTGTCTGTTACCATGTCAACCAGGCCACAAAGCTATCATATTTTAAGGACTTGTGCAACGTAGTTTGAACTTGACTGGCATCTTCCCTGGAGTTGAAGAGTTCCACTACATGAAGGACTTGTGTGCAATACTTTTAATTAATGTCTTTTCTAAAACAAATTTGGATGCAAAAAAGTCTGGAATTTATGTTTTGTAATTTTTGTAAATTTTATTTTGAATAATACAATAATTTTCATCATTTGATATCTGTTCATACTGCAACAAAATCACAAACCACAATAAAATAGTTTTTCCTGAAAATGGTTATTCCTTTGAATAAACTTGTCCAAATCTAAAACATTGAATACAGATTAATGGTAGCATCACACAATTTTCAAGAACAGAAGTCTTTATGCAGAGACACACAAGTTCAGAATGATTCATATGAGTAAGTCTGTGCTGACTATGCCACGGGTTGTCCTTTAGCCATGTTAATGTCTGTTTTTGTCACATTCACATCCAATTTCTCTAAGAATTCTTCCTGTTTCATAGCATGCATTGTATAGAGATCTAAAGAAATGGTTAAGGAAACAAATGTTACCAATACTAATGTCTATAGCCAAAACTTACAATGTGGCAACAACCAAGTCTGAGTCTAAGTGAGACAGGTACTCACTACTCAAGATCTGGAAGAATTGATAGCTGATACCATAATTTTACTGCCTTGCAGAATGTCAAGTTCTTATATTGTAGATGTATTAGATTTAGCATGTACAATATTTGAAAAAGTTAGCGAAGATTTGATTTAGCACATTTACTTATGTATTGTTCCTGTTTATATCTATTTGTGCAAAGCATCTGTACTTGATTAAGCCAAATTTGTTTTCCAGCTTTCCGCAAAAGGGGCTAGAAAGAATACACAGCTAAATGTATTATGTTCACAGTATTTCGCTCACTATTTGAAAGGTTTAATATAGTCACTGTTGGAAGTAAGTATATTGGGAAATGGTCTTCCTTTTAACTTTCAACAAAAGCTTTGGCAACTAGTGACAGAATTAACAAGATTACAAGTAGAATTTCAACTTCATTGAATTTTTTAAGTTTTAGAGATTGTCCTAAATGCTATATTTTTATATGGTAAGTATAGTTTAGGGCAAATCTCTAAAACTTGACAAAAGCATAAAATTGCATCAGATATCAAAAATTAAATACAAGAGGCCCATGGGCCTTATAGGTCACCTGAGCATCATGCAACAACTTTCCAGTAATTGAATTTGGTTCATATTTTAACTTTTAGCCAGATGCTATGGCATTCACAATTTTGAAAGAGGCACCATTGCTAATCATAACTATATACTTAACAATTGCTTAGTTTGGTTACTTAATACCCATAGGCAAGGTAGGGGAACAAAAAAATGCATTTCAACTAATCAGTAATATTCAGCAATAATCAGCTGTGCCCCTACCACACATGAACCCCTGACCCTAGGTCCACACATTGCACAATTTTTGAAAAGGCACCCTTGCTTATCAAAAACATTTGATTAATACAAACTAGCAGATTTCAAACAATTCACTTTCAGTATATAAGAGTAGAAGCCCCCACCCTCTATGGTACCCCTGATCACGGGGCCTTGAAATTCACAATTCTGGAAGAAGGGCTCTTGCTCATCATAACAATATAAGTAGTTCATCTGCTTAATAACCTGGAGCTGAGAAGAACATTTTCAAAGAATTCATGTACATGTATTTTCACTGTATAATCAATAGAGCCCCACCCTAACACCAGAACCTCTGACCCTGGGGCCTTGAAATTCAAAATTTTGGAAGAGGCACTCTTGGTCATCAGGCCTAGAAAAAAAATATGTTTGTTTCCGCTTTCCCGACCGACCCTAATTTATAGTGCCGACTCTAAATATTTTTTTAATGCTTTTGTCCAATGATGTGCAAGATTTCAACCAGGGAATTATAGCCTCCAACTTTGCAAGCTTTTCAAGACAGAAAGAAGTTTGGGTCACCTTTCTATTATAAGTTAAGTCACAGTAATGCTTGAAAACACCATTTCTTTTGTCATTAATGTTACTTCTATACACGTTTTGATTAAAGAAGCAAAAAATTTTTTTTCAAAAAAAAATAAAAAGTTGCCTACCTACCTAACCTATATTTTTTCAGCCTGAAAGCGGAAACAAACATATTTTTTTTCTAGGCCTCACAAATATGCACTTAATTGGTTTATTTAATATCCAGGAGCAGAGAAGAAGATTTTCAAAGAATTCTTGTATTTTCACTATATAATCAATAGAGATCCCCACCCTAACACCAGAACCCCTGACCCTGGGGCCATAAAATTCACAATTTTGGTAGAGGCAGTCTTGCTCAACATAACTATGTACTTAGTTAGTTTATTTATTACACTGGAGCAGAGAAGATTTTCAAAGAATTCATGTATTTTCACTATATAATCAATAAAGCCCCACCCTAACACCAGAACCCCTGACCCTGGGGCCTTGAAATTCAAAATTTTGGAAGAGGCACTCTTGGTCATCACAAATATGCACTTAATTAGTTTAATATCCAGGAGCAGAGAAGAAGATTTTCAAAGAATTCATGTATTTTCAATATATAATCAATAGAGAGCCCCGCCCTTAAACCAGAACTCCTTACCCTGGGGCCATAAAATTCATAATTTTGGTAGGGGCATTCTTGCTCAACATAACTATATACTTAGTTAGTTTATTTATTACACTGGAGCAGAGAAGATTTTCAAAGAAATAATGCATTTTCACTATATACTCGTTTTAGCCCCACTCTAGCACTAGAACCCCTGACCCTGGGGCCATGAATTTCACAATTTTGGTAGAGGACTCAATGCTGATTACAATCATGCAAAGAGTTTGACTGCTTGATGTCCAGGAGTTGAGAAGAAGATTTTTAAAGATTGCATTAATTTTAGTGGTTTTGGCCCCACCCCTCAGGCCCCAGGGGGGCAGGGGTCATGAAATTCACAATTTTTGTTCCCCTTCACCCATAGATGCTTTGTACCAAATTTGGTTGAAATTGGTTCAGTGGTTGCAGAGAAGAAGCTAAAAATGTTCAAAAGTTTACGACCGACGTACGACTGACGACGACGGACGAAAAGAGATAGCATTAGGTCACCTGAGTTTACTCAGGTGACCAAACAAGAGTGATAGACTAAGAATTTATGTGTTTTTGATAAGTTTTTGTTAGATACAAAATATACTACGTTTTTGTGTCTAATAAAACTTCTCAGAAGGGGGAGGGTTACACCATCCACTAGTCTCACAGGCATTTGTTTCCTAAAGGGGCACTCCTACTTATTTTTACAATGCAAAAATAAGTAGGGGTGCCCCCTTTAGGAAACGATTGCCTGTGACTCGTCAGATCAGGTGCGTGTTACTTTGTATCGTTCAACCAGAATTTACTCGGTACATTATCGCAAATAAATCTCAAAAAGGATACAGATTCCAAAGGCAAAGAGCGAAAATACGCCAGCTGATCTTCGATTAGACCACAAACTCTTCTTGTGTTTGCTTGCTCTGTTTGTATTTAAGCTATTTAATTTGTTTACCAAATGTTTATGAAAAACGTTTGTTGTCTCCTCAGATTTGTTAAAAGTTGGCATCAACAGACGATTGTACTCCTGATCAGACATATGTACAGCAGACGGTGAATTTCGAAAGTAAGGTTCGGGTGGCAATCCATCCCCTTTACTTATTCCCAAACGAGAAGGGTTGTATCTCTTTGCCATTGCCCTCACTCAGAGTCACTGCTCAGCTGTGTCTCCTATAACGTCGGGTGTGGGGATCGTTGTATAACACTTTTCTTTATCGATTACATTAATATGATGAAATTTCACACCCGATTTATATACATGAAAATTCATTCTGTAAATATTTAATGTATAAAATACTTATTTATATATTTTATTAAACTAAAGAATATTTTTCTTATTTTGATTTTCATTGATGTACAAGGATCAAAGTTTAAAAAGAAATGTGGATTTTTTTTTATATAAGCGATAAATCTATTTGTCTCAAAGTTTAAACGTTTTACTGACCAAATAAGGCGTCTGATTAACATCGATGTAAATATTATTGATTGAATGCGACATGGAGACAAAGGAATAAAGTGCGAAATATACTTTTCATGTGTTTCCCAGTAGTTTAAACGGGCTTGTTATTGAAAACGGACATGTAATAAAACGTTCCAGAGGGGTGTCATTTCTGAGGCATCACTATTTCGACAAAAAATCACACAGTTTCTTGAGACCTATTCTGATCAGCTGTTTTTGACAACAGACGCAGATTAAAAATTCTTGAAAGTATGACGCGGAATATTGTGTAGTTCTGTGCAGTTTGTGAGATTATGCATGAAGTATGACAATGGCATGGGACAGATTTGATCAATCACCCTATGATTCATAATGGGTAACTCAAACAGCAGCAGGTACAACCTGAGTCAAAGTAGACATGAACATTGGCAAAAGATATTGGAGCATCCTAACTTTGGACTGATTCAGTCTGTCCCTTACAGCAAGTGGATCAAATCTCAGAGGAGCTATGGGGGATTTACGGACTACGCTGACTTCACGACTTGTCGTGAGTCGAGGCTCCGTCACGGGGTCCTGGTGAAGCCTGATAACACGGGGGGACGTTACCTCATTCCAAGCTTCAAATCAAAGTTTGAACTCATTCTGGTAGAAAAACAAAGATGGTTCATGTCCAATTATAAACTGCCCCGTGTCCCTGTGCCTGATTTTGAGGACCCACAGTGGTTCCAGAGGTCAAGTCATAACAGAAACAGGAGAGAGTGTAGTGTTATTGGTTACCATGACAACTTAGTAGTAGTGCAAATCAACACCAATCGTTACTATCTGTCTCCTCGATTTTATCTGATAGATCTAGAAAGCAATGAAATTGTGGGACACTTTCTGATCTTTTATCACTGTAGACGTTGGTATGAGTGCTATATTTCACCATGCAAGAAACAGATTCTTATGAGGCCCGACAATTTAACTCGAATTGTGTCCCTGCCTGATAACTATATTCTGGAGAATGTGTGTTTGAAAAGTGCATTTAGTAACATGGAAGTTGGAGTTGTCCCACCGACTCTGCGAGCCCACGTCATGTGTTATAACAGTATAGCAGGTGACAGTCTGGTTCTGATTGCATTCCACAAAACCATAGAAATCCGGAGAACAGACACCTGGGAGACGGTCAGGAGTTATCAGAACCTGGATCTCCCCACAGGTATCCAGCAGATGAAGTCCAGCCCCCTGGGGGATTTCCTCGCCCTCAGGTGTGTGTCCCCTGTCCATAGTAAGGAGTACAATGTTAACGTTATAGCGGTCCTCGACTTCCACACCTTTAATATTCTAATGAAGGTAAGTATTGCATCAATGTCTTGTAGCTTGAATTTAAGGGTTGGTTCACTGCTCATTTCTGTAAATGGTTTTCCAAGATTATTCAACAGTTCAATATTCATTATTTTGTCAATTAATGCTTAGAGATATATACATGTATATGTTACATGCAAGTATTTTCCACTTATCAAAAAAATCGATTCACATTGACATTTATATAAATTATAACAGATTGTTATCAGTTAGAACATAAAAAAGAATGATACAGTAAAACACCCTTAAAAGTAAGCAGGTTTGTTAACAGCATATGTTATGCTGTATCAAGCTAACATTGGTTTTGTACTGATACTATTATAACTGTTTCAGGTGGATGTAAAGGGCTGTTATCGACCTGTGTCAGAAGTTGTCAACCTGCAGGTTTTCCCACACTTCAGTCCTAGTGAGGCCACAATAGCTGTGATGAGGAACTCTTCCTACACTCGGAAAATACTGACGTACAAACTGCCGATCTGTCGCTTTAACCTCCAGTACCTCTGTCGTAGGGCCATCCTCCATCTGGTCAGTTACAGGGAGGTACATAAACTCCCCCTCCCCAGCAACATTATCAACTTTCTACTGGCTAAACCAGGTCACACACGCATAGGTCTGTCTACATCTGGTCAGCTACAAGGAAGTTCATAAAACTCCCCTCCCCCTCCGCAAGCAACATTATCAACTTCCATACTTACTAAACCAGGTCATGCACGTATCGACTTGTCCTGAGGAAAATTTATGTTAAAAGTACTTGCATTTAGGTGGTATAAATTCAGATATTAAACAATTATTAATTTGTGTTTATTATTTTTTTTACATGCTTATGATAGTTGGTTTAAAAACTTAGGAAACAAAACACCTTTAGTCACTTTTTAGGTCACCTGAGTAAACTCAGGTGACCTATTGCTCTCCGTTTTCGTCCGTATTTTTATGTGTTAACATTTGAACATTTTTTTTCTCTGAAACCATTGAGCCTTTGAAATTTGGCACAAAGCATCTAGCAAGGGGAACAAAAATTGTGATTATTTTAATTAATGCAATTGTTGGTTTGTTGTTTAAGCAGTCTAACTGTTTGCATGATTGTAAATTTACCAAATTGTGAAATTCATGGCCCTGGGGTAAAGTGAAAATTTCTTCTCTGCTCTTGGGTATTAAATAAACCAACTAAGTACATAGTTATGTTGAGCAAAAGTGCACCAAAATTTTTTTATGGCAATCTCTATTGATAATATATAGTGAAAATACATGACTTCTTTGAAAATCTTCTTTTCTGCCCCTGAGTATTAAATAAACTTCACAGTTATGATACAGTGAATTTTATGGCATTTATTTCAAATTTAATAGTTTACATGAATTCTTTGAAAATATGTTGGTATTAAATAAACTAACTATGATTTATGTTGAGCACTTTAAGCAATGTATCAGGGGTTCAGGTGTTAGGGCAGGGCTCGTTTGATTATATATTGAAAATACATGAATTCTTTCAAAATCTTCTTCTCTGCTCCTTGGAATTAAATAAACTAACTACCCGTTAAGTACATAGTTATTATGAGCAAGAATGCCTCTTCTAAATTATGAATTTTATGGCCCCAGGGTCAGGGGTTCTGGTGTTGGGGGGGCGGGGGGCTCTATTGATTATATAGTGAAAATACATTAAATCTTTGAAAATTTTCCTTCTCTTATAAAGCAGATAAACTATATATAGTTATGATGAGCAAGGGCCTATCTTGCAGAATTGTGAATTTCAATGCCCCAGGGTAAATGGATTATATACTGAAAATGAATTAAATGTTTGAAATATGCTCCTTTGAATTTATAAAAAAATTTATTTATTTTTTGATAGGCAATTTTAAGGGTGCCTTTTTAAAATTTGTGCAATGTGTGGACCTAGGGTCAGGGGTTTATGTCACAGTGTTAGGGGCACTACTGATTATTGCTGAATATTACTGATTTGTTGGAATGCGTTTTTGTACCCCTACCCTGCGTATGGGTATTCAGTAACCAAGCTAAGCAACTGCTAAGTGTATTGTTATGATGATCAATGGGTTTTAAATTGTGAATGCTATAGCATCTGGCTTAAAACATGAATCAAATTCAATAACTGGAAAGTTGCTGCATAATGCTCAGGTGACCTATAAGGCCCGTGGGCCTCTTGTTGTTTTGTAAATTCACTCAATATTTTTATAGGTTACTTTTTTTTTTTTTTTTTAAATTTCCTTTGATTAAAGCATCAGCAAGGGGTAAATACATGTATTATTTTAATTACTTAATTGTTGGTTTGTTGTTTAGTATGGTACCTTATAAAATTTATCACAAAATTTACCATAAAGTGAAAATTTTAGGCATACCTTGAACAAGCAAAACACCAAATTTTACAATCTCTAAAGAACCCTGCTATATGGTGTAAAAATTTACCCAACAAACAATTCCACATGTACAGCATTTATTTCAAATTTAATTACTTTTGCAGATAAGTATGTTGGCTAATATGATTTATCACTTTAAGCATGGTACCAAGACGAACCTAAGTATTTATATGCATTATTTTCTTTTCATTGATATTGAGTGTGTCTTTATGTAGAACTATTCATTTTTATACTAGACAAGTACCTTCTTTATACACATATAAGTGCAATATTTAAAGGTAAATGAATGAATTGTTACACTTTTTTTTCTTATCTATAGGCAGACATTCTCAATGAAGCCTATTTCATTTAGTTGTTGCTCAGCATTCTCATTTTCTTATGCAACATTGTTAATTTTGATTATATTGTGTTTAACTTCTTGGGCATTGAAATAGGTCTGTAGGTTTTTGGATGTCTAGCATGATTCATGATTTGGTTCACTTTAACATGTCCATGTGTGCTTTCTCATGAACCTTGCCAAATATGACTTTATTTATGTCAATATTTATTACTAATGGTGCTTATATTCACAATAAATATTAATGTAAATTATCTCAGAATTTTGAATGTGTGAATAGAATAAGTGTATGTACAATATTCCACTAGTGAATGTTAGTTTTGCATATGCCTTTAATGTGCATTTTTTTTCAAAGAAAGGATTTTGTACTGTATATTCTCAATACTAGCAATTTGTCATCCAATCTGTGTTCATTTTGTGGTCATATGTAATTTTTTCCAAGAAAATGTGGATTTTTTATTGTATTTAGAGTACTTAAGAATGAAGGATAAACAGGAATCACTGTCTGTCAGTCTGTTTTGTGAAGAGTTGTAATATAATTTCACTTAAAGTTTAGAATGCAAGTGACTTATTCCATACAACTTCCCTAAATACCTGTGGATCTTAATTCAGCAGAAATGTATTTCTATTCATATATGGTTTTCAGGATGGCTTTAAACATTTTTGCTTAAATACATCAATTTCCATATATTACTAATACATGTATGGTGTATTTTATTATTTTGCAATATTTTACTTAAAACTCCTTTTATTTTGTCTGTGTGAATGCTTCCATTTGATTAAACAGAACTTTTCTGAAATTAAAAGCATTTTCCAGCACTGTCCCCAATATTGTAACGTCAAAAACAACGCCATTTGTTGTCTGTAACATTTTTGTTTTCAAACATTTTTTGCCTTAAATTCTTTTCAAAAACTACACAGCTAATTAAAAAAATGCCACTAGGTATCCTTGGATTAGGATGAAGCAATTCAAGTCAGAAGACGTAAAACTTAACTTCATTACATAGTGTAGATTCAAATTTGTTCAAGTTATTGTGGATAGGGTAAGGCCATGATGGGAGATCAAAGTTTTATGTAAAAATATATAGGGCCATGATTAATAACATTTATGTTGAAGCGTATGAGGCACCGTTTTAATATTTTTGAAATATTTTCTGAAATCAAAAAAGAAATTCTTGATATAAATAATTCGAATTCTTGATATCAAATAAATATGACCAAAATTATCGAAAACACTTAATAAATTCTTTCATTAAAAATGTTCTTCAACTGAAATCGACAAATTTTAGTAGAAAGCAAGTCTTGCACTGAAGTTCGGGATTTTAATTCTACAGTTCAAGGGAGTATTTATTTTTTATGTGAAAATTCGTCGCCATTTTATTTTAATTTCTGATATCAATAAATATATTTTTTGATATCAAAAAATCAATTTGAATTTCCTGATATCAAAAAATCATTTTCTGATATCAGAAAATCGTTTTTTTTAATATCAAAAATGATTTCTTGATATCAGAAATTCGAATTTTTGATACTGAGTATCAGAAAATGACATATTTTTTTATATCAAAAATTTTCAAGATTGTTCCCTTTGATTTGTTGTCTGTAAAGTTTTCACATTTTTTGCCTTAAATTCTTTTCAAAAACTACACAGCTAATTATCAAAAATTTCATGAATTTCTGAAATCATGAAAATTCAATTTTTGATATCAAAAAACTTAACTTCATTTTCTGATATAGAAAAATTTGTTGATTATCAAAAATAGGGAAAGGCTGATATAACAAAAAGATTTTTTGATATCAGAAATATACCATAAAAATATAAAACATTTATGTTGAAGCATCCTCAGATAATGTTTCAGATTCAATTTTGTTAAAATTGTGACCAACCAGGGTAGGTCAGGGCAGCAATATGTGATCAGAGTCTGACATGTTTATTTCAGGAAGACAATTTGCAGATGAAGAACAGCAGGGTCTTAATGACTCAGGTGAGCATTGTGGCTCATGGGCCTTCTCTTATAATATATAATCCTTTTACATACAGTATAAACTTGTATAGTGTAAGACTGAACATAATACTCAGTTTATTAACATGCAGAAAATTAAATGGATGTTTGTTTCTTAAAACAGTTCTGTTGTTGAATGTCATGTGTATGAAAACTTGGCTGAATGAAATACACAGTATAAACTTCATTTGCACAGGTACCTGAAGTTACTTATATTTCTTTTTTTTATTAAAAGAAAAATAAGTAATGTCAGGTGCCTGTGGATGTTTGTATTAGACATAATTTTTCTGCATGGGATTTTTTTATGCTTTGTTATGCATTAATTCACAAATTTTCTGCCAAAAATTTCTCACACTGAACTAAAAGTGCAACTTTGGCCCAAAAATGACAATGCAAGAATTCTGTGTGACACCTTGAAATAATTTTTTTTTAATTGTGATTCAATGGAATATTATGACCCCACCTGAAAAAGTAACACTGTAGGTAACTGACACATTTTTAGCTCACCTAAGCTAAAGGCCAGAAAAGTCGAAGGTTTTGTGAAAGTTTTATTACATAGTGTTGAATGTTTTATTTGATCCCAGAGGGATGGGAGTGCAAACAAAAGTATACCTGGAATATTAAAAAAAACATTCTAATTGTACAAACAAGTACTCTGAAGTTGACATTAAAAAGATGCTTGATGTCTTCCAACAATCTACTTTAGAATTCACCAGAATGCTTCTACCATTTTTCTGGCCCAGTGGTTCTTGGAAGAAGATGTTTTTTCCATATATTTCTATATAAAACTTTGATGCATTATTTGAAAAATTTAGAATTTACATTATCTTATGCATGAAAAGAAGAAAACATATATTTCTATATAAAATTTTGTTGTGGCCTTCAACTCGGGGGTCATTTAGATATATTATACATCCACATAAATATTTTCTCCCAGTGGTTATTTTCAAAGATTTTTCCTATATATTTCTATGTTAAACCCCATTGTGGCGTTCATCACTGCATAAACTACAGTAGGCAGGTTTTCTGGCCCAGTGGTTCTTGACAAAGAATTTTCCTATATATTTCTATATAAAACTTTGATTCCCCATTGGCTGTTCCATCAATGAAACGTATAAAGAGGTTTTCTGGCCCAGTGGTTCATTAATACAATAATTAATCTTTTTAATTATACCTACTTTAATAATTATTTAAACAAGATATAAATATATATATTTCTATATAAAATTTTCTTTGTTTGTTGATTTGAACAATTTAGAATGAACTACCCCAGAATGCTTCCACATAAGTTTCAGCTTTACTGGCCCAGTGGTTCTTGAGAAGAAATTTTTTAATAACCCTATTTTTGTCTTTTCTTGATTATCTCCCCTTGCGGGTCCCTATTTTAACAATTTAAATTCCCCTTCACCCAAGGATTTTGTACCAAGTTTGGTCAAAATTGGCCCAGTGGTTCTTGAGAAGAAGTCGAAAATGTGAAAAGTTTACAGACGGACAGACAGACAGACGGACAGACAGACAGACAGCATTGTTATTGAGCCTTTAAATCTAATTGTACACACAAGTACTCTGTCATCAAAAAGATTAACAATGGTTATTTCCATTCTTATTGTTTCAGTATTCAATATATTTAGCGTGAAAAGAAGAAAACACTTGTTGTGGCCTTCAGATTTAGATATATTATACCAATTAACAATGGTCACTAAGTATTTTCATTCTTATGTTGATACGATATATCCCAGTGATCTTGAGATTAAATATACCACAGAGTCTGACAGCTGTTTCAAATTTAGACATTTTATTAGAAAAAGACGTTAATGGTAATCTAACAATCAAGCTTTATGATGTAAACAGGATGACTTTAACTTTCCTTTACTTATGCAGCAATATACCTTCCTCACCTGCATACGGGGTTTATATCTCTTTGTTGATAAGATACGTTAGAGGATGCTCTTCGTATGAACAATTTCTAAAACGAGGTAAGTTACTGAAAAACAAATTGATGAAACAAGAATAGTAGCAGAGTCATTTAAAGTAATTATTTTGTAAGTTCTATGGTCGATACAATGACCTTGTCAGCAAGTACAATTTCAAATGATCACTGACGTTTTTCATACTAACTGTTAGTCGATTATTTAAATACACTGAATTGACGACGGATTTTTCCGCTATTTCCCATAGGCACTCCCCATCTTAATTGTAAAAAAAATATATATCTACTATACTATAAACAAAACGTTTTGTTTATAGTATAGTAGATATATATATTTTTTTACAATACAATTTATCATTGGGTTGACTGACGTTTTTCATACCAATTCATTGTTAGTCCATTATTTATACACTGAATTGACTATTTCACCGTATCTTGATAAGGAACACACGTGGCGGATGTGACCGGTCAACAGGAGATGACATAGATGGGCGTTTGGGCTCAAGGGCCTCTCATTTTTTTTTTGGAGATGATTAAGTAAAAACAAAAATCCTTTCAGTAAAATGTCTAAAATCTGTATTCGACTAGAATTTATTTCATTTTTCCTGGACACTACAAAAGCATTTTCGTAGAAAGGACTTATATATGTACAAGCAATGCCATTTTTGTCAATTAATTACGGTAACTATATACATTCAGTTGTCGATGGAAACTTAAAGAACTAAATAAGCATCAATCTCTTCTGGCGTGTACTTGAAAAGAGTAATATTAGAAAAGTCTGTGAGTATTCAGCAGACATTTTCCCTGGATCGATCTAAATAGAAAAAAAGAAACAAAACAAAAACGGTACATCAAAAATCCGAATAACATCAGCAATGTCATTTTTAAAAGTCAAATCAGCTGCGAATTTAGGATGTGTGCCATAAGTGGGGTGTAATTATGTCAAGTTTAGGTTGGTGCTCGAGGTAGGGACGGAGCGCATCTCACTTTTATCTTTCCCCAGCTCGTCATACTGGTAGGGCGGATCCTGGAATCTGTAGGCGTACCTAGCCAACAGCGATAACAGAAATGTCTCCACCACTAACAGCCCATAGTGATAACCTGAGAAAAAATGTTCTGTAAACATTAACAGTCCTATTAGCTTAAAAATAACAGAAGTGTTTCCAGTAACAACTAGTATCAACAGTTCATGTATTTTTTAAGCAAATGACTTTCAATAAGAATTAAATGTGTTCCTTGATACCATTGTGTGTATTGTATAAACTATTTCTATAATTTTTAAAACTAAATGTAAAACTTTTTCCCTCAAGACTTCATGAAAACAATGTATTTTAGAATTTAATTTTTTTACCATCTTGTTATATATTCATCAATTAGAGACAAATAATTTTACAGGGAAACGACTTAATCCCCCCTCCCCCCGTATAATGTTATAGATTGATTTTAAAATGCGTGTAATAATGAAATACCAATAATTCTACTGTAAGCATTGCCATAATATACATACGATAAGCTTGAACCATAGGACCACGTGTCTGTACACAATCAAAGACGTCACGTGATGCAAGGAGAGTGAGCACAGCCCTCTGGGCGTCCGAGAAAACCATAGCGAGCTGCACCGAGAGAAACTTGAGGCGGATCCTACATTCCTTCAGCTTCAGTTCTACAAATCGCGTCAGCGAAATCGCTCCCCACATTGACAGCAATAAACTTACAATGTTGATGAACTGAAAGTAGGTGCCAGGGTTGGAGGTACTCATCTACAAAGTGATGAGAGTACAAGCGAGTTCAGAGTTAAATCTGGGTGTCATTTCTTTCCTTCGATTCAATATCATCTTCTAACATTACATTCTTTCTGGGTTTTTTTTGCCTTTTTTAAATATCTTATCAATCATATATTGAGAGAGAGAAAGAGAGAGAGATAACTTACCACATCTGTCAGTTTAAACTTGTTGTCCATCCACAGTAGGACCAGGATGAGCATTGTGAGCGGCCGGACGACGACCATCTGTACACAGAGGAGCTTGATCGTCCGCAGGTTACCACTAAAGTGTAAAAAACACGATTAAAGCTTTTACAACAAAATCAAGCCAGAGACTATTCAAAAGAGAATACTCGCCAATACAAAGGATAAGGACCTGTTTATTTGGGAGCCATTAAGACAGACACAACAGCAGCAGCATGGCGGAGTTCGGAAAGACATGGTTTCGTCTGACATATCAGTCACTAGTTTATCCTCATCCCCAAAATATCCTATCAAAATCCTTATGTACACCAAAATACTGATGGCCCGCAACCTACAATCAACCCAAGAAATAAAATATTTAGAATAATTCCTTAAACAATAGGCACTTGGGCCACAACTCTCACCTGAGTTATACCTTGACCCTGCTGTTCTTCAGGACTTTGCCCCAAGCTAGGTGATTAATGGCCGTACCTCAACAGGACACCACTAAGCAAATTTCACCTGAGTGGACTGAGAAAGGCACTTGTAAGGCAGGACATTTATTGCCCAGGTCAGTGACCTTTGGTTTCATCCATGCCAAACACCCATGACCACTTAACCATATTCTGTTTGATCCAGGACAAAGTTGCTGCTCTTTTGAATATAGATAATAGCTCAATCTGTATTTATACTCACGTGGAGGTGATGAGTTCCATTAAGAGGGTCGACCTCGGAACAAGGAGACCCAGTACACAGCATACAGAGAGAATCTGAAAAAAAAATCATCATGCTGAAAACATGCTGGAGTCGGGCCTGTGGGGCTGTGCATGTTAATCATTAAAATTATATACAATGTACACCGTGGACAGTGAAATCTTAAAATAGTGAAAATGTATTCGTGTAATTATTCATTAGTATTAATAATCTCTGTTGAGATTCTGCTGGGCTAGATATTTGGACTGACGCCCGCACGGCAGTGTGGTCTAGGTGAATAAATCTTGCTATATTCAGCCGAAGTTGGGGCCTAATCTCTAGACGTGAATTATGAGTGGCTGTCCAGAGATTCTGCGGGCGTCCGTCCAAATATCTAGCCCAGCAGAATCTCAACAGAGATTATAGTATTAATAGTTAGAAATAATACTTATAATTTCAATGTAAATACACTGTATGTGTGTGAAATTTATCAAGTGATCTTTTCAGTGTTAAGTTATGTCTTTTATGAAATTTATCAAGTGACCTTTTCAGTGTTAAGTTATATAGGATTACCGGGAAAATGGTGAGGATAAGAATGACATAATTTCTGTTGTGGGAAAGGGAGTAAACTCTGCACATGAACCATAACTCCTCCGCGTAGTTGACGAGGGTCAGGATACACAGGATAAGAGCGATAACTCCTAGGACAATGACGGACACCTCATTCTCAAGCTCTGAAATTAAAACCATAGAACATGTACAGTCTAACATCAGCTTCACCTCCTACAGGTACCCCACAGTGTGCAAATCGGAGGGGGGGGGGGGGGGGTAATGTTACATATTACAATCTTGTGTAAACTTATTCCCTTTAGAACAGATGATACAAACAAATTTTCGTCAAAAAATTTGAAAATACTTAAGTCATGTTTTAATGAATAAAATGAATAAGTTTCACCGCGTAGTTTTCAATTTTTTATTCAAACTTTCACAAAAATGGATTTTGAAGTGGAAAATATTTGTATAGAATAATAAGGATGGTTTCAGAAGGGTAGAGTTTTGAACATCACAGAAGGTTTACAATTTCTTTATATTCTAGAAAATCATTATTTTCATCATTTGCAATGAAATTAGGTCAAAAATATGTACCAATCCAGGCATCCATTTTTGTTTGTATCATCTGTCCTTAATCCCTACTTTTTATCCAATATAAAGATTGATATTGTATCCTTTGAATTTGTATTGTGAAGGTATTACACTGAAAGCACTTGACTTTGCATGGTGAAATAAATTAACCAAGATGAAGTTATATTTCTGCAGGCTCTCATTCCGTAAGCGCGTCCCTCAAATTTGAGTTTTCTGGCACTGTTGAGGCTGCCCCAACTGATTTTATTATAAACATTTGTATAATTCAAGTCCCCAGCACATGATTGATTCTAAAATAGTGTTGTGGTAAGATACTACTATATAACTCTATTTTGTGTATGAGACACAGCTCGAGGCTGTGAGGTTTAAAATCAATTATCCTTATCAATTATCAAGAGAAATGACGCTTGAAAACATGTTTTGTTGTTGTTGTAAACTTGGATCCCCCCTTTTCCCCAAAAAAGGAAAAAAGGGTTGGCTATAGATACTGCCCAGACAAGTAAATTGACTTCCTCAAGAAAAGTTAGAAGGACAGCAGTGGTTTTTGCCTCGAACCATTATCTAGAGATGTAAATTTATGCATGAAAAGGTCTTAACCACCCAAGTTTTATTGATTGTGCAATTTATAAGAGAGAGAGAGAGAGAGAGAGAGAGAGAGAGATTCGATTACCTGGGTAGAGAATGGATGTATAAGGGAAATCCTCGCTACAATTGGCCATCTAACCTGTTGTCCGATGACTAAATTCCCTTGCAAAATATACATAAATCTGTTTATCCAATCTAG